ACTTCAAACGACCATAACTTCTAGCTTAGGATGAGTTAGGTGTGTTTTCAGATATCGTAGGATAGATCTTGGAATAATCTTTCTAACGCTGCCGAGTTTGCGCGATTCTGAGTCGTATGAGGGAGATATGCCCATTGGAAGTTGGGTTGTTCAATTAAGGAAATGTCCAATCCAGATTTTAGAGGGGCATTATGGTTTTTTCCTTACCCAATTATTTTATTTTGTTTTTGGGTAATTAATTGGGGTCTTAACAGATTTTAGTCAGTTTAAGCTTTTGGAAAAAGAGTTAGGGTTTTGAGAAAAGAGAAAAGAAGAGGAGAAAGGAGGAAAGGACACAAGAATCGTCAAGATTTTCACGAATCGCTTGTGGATTTCGTCAAGGGGTGATCCCTACGAGGTATGTGAGTCTTTCATAGTGTTGGGTTCGTTCACCTACGCATCAAACATGTTTATTTCAGCGAAGTTTATTCTAGAAAGTTGAAAGTTGATGAATCTTGAATGTTCTTGAAATTGACATTTGTTTTTTAGTTAGGTTGAGATTGAGGAGTTCCTTGAGGTTAAGATGTTGTTTCCTTGAGTTGTTTGAGTTAGATTCATGTGTATACATACTGGGTATCTGAATCTAAAGAGAACTTGAGAATAATAGTCGAGTTTAGGTGAATTAGGGCTGAAAAACGAAGAAGGAAATAAAGTCGGACAAGGAATAGGTAGCAGGTCCACGTCGGGAACCTGTTCCTTGTTCCTTAGATTTGACAAAATTGTTTTCGAGTCGCGGAGTGGTCACAGACCATTCTTCCTCAAAAGTTAATTCACGACCTAATATTTTAATTCACCTCCGTGTTGTGGAGTAGTTCCCTAGCAGTGATTTCTTGATCGTTTCTCATGATTAATTATCTAAAATCATTCCTAAACATCATGAGATCTTTCCTATCACAAAACTCAATCCTTGAATCCATAATTCAATTCAAGGATCAGTTAAGAGTCAAGTCAAGAGAAGTTCATAGAGTTTTTCAAAAGTCTTTTACAAACGTTTTAACTTTGTTTTAAGACTTGAGTTCAAGTTAAGTAAAGAGTAAAAAGTAAAGGTTGAAGTTCATTTCTTCAAAAGTATATGGGGACTCTTTATTCCCAAAGGGTTTAAAATGTTTTCACATTTAAACAAGAAAGGAAACTTTGATTTCTAAAGAGCCTTTAAGCTAGTTTTTCAGTAAAGAGTCTTTGAGCTAGTTTTTCAGTAAAGAGCCTTTGAGCTACTTTTCAGTAAAGAGCCTTTGAGCAAGTTTTTCAGTAAAGAGTCTTTGGGCTAGTTTTCAGTTAAAGAGTAAATGCTTTCACATTAAAATCAGAGAGGAAACTTTGATTTCCAAGATAGTCTTTGAGCTATGTTTTTGAGCAATTATCTCAAATCACAGAAAAAAGTATATTTTTTTTAAAATATAATAGTTAGTATCATATTTTGGGAGTAGTATTGAGCACCGATATGGGGGAGAGTTCATATAACTCACAACCCCCATAAACCATGTAGCCACCATGGGTAGAAAATGGTCATACTTTTGAGATGATTCCTTTAGTGCTTTTTAGCATAGACTAGTGGATCCACTTAGTAGTTCAGGTTCTAGACTCATGGCAAGGTATAGGACGACCCTGACAGCGTGAGGCAAAATGTTGTATCATCACGATAACTTTTAAGTGATGGTTGTCGGTTAGAGAAACTCCCACAACAGTATTTTGTATTTTTATATACATCAGAAATATTTGTATTTTCATATACAAACAGAGTTCATATTGTATCTTTGCATACATACAGAGTTATTATTGTATTTATAAATACACAAAGTTGAAAACCATGTTTTAAAGCTTTTCTTTATACTGCATTTATTTATACTGCTTTCTATTGAAATTAGTTGAGTAGAGCCAGGTAAGTTCTTCAGTTCCTTTCAAGCTTATGTCTTGTTTTAGAATTCCCCTCGCATACTCGTACATTCAATGTACTGATGCTAGTTGGCCTGCATCTTATTATGATGCAGACGCAGGTAACCAGGATCAACATCTAGCGCCTCGTTGATCAGGTTGAGCACTTAGAGTTAGTTGGTGAACCTCCTAGCTTTTCGAAGGATCCTTTTATTGCTTTCAGTATTTTTGTTCATTAGGATGTCGTGGGTCTTGTCTCGACGTCCATCTCAGTTGATTAGAGGCTTCATAGACAGAGTTAATGATGTTAGTTCATAAGTCTTTTCTTTTCCTTTGTAGTTAAGTTGAGACTTGAGTTGCCATTTTGGCAAGGAATGTTATTTATTACATTCTCAGTTATTTATTGAGCAGTTTAGTGTACAATTTTTAAAAGTATTTATCTTGAGTAAAGTCTTCCGCTGAGTAAGTAAGCCAAGCCAAGGGTTCGCTTGGGGCTAACAATGGTTCTCGAGTGCCAGTCCCGCCCAGGATGTAGGTTCGGGGCGTGACAAGTGTGATCTTTAAAGTAATTAATATTGAGGGATTTAGACTTAATGTTTTAATAGTTAGACTAAAATTTAAGTGTTGGGCTTCATAAAATAGTATAAATAAAGACTTAAGTTGATTAAAATTTATCAAAATACTCATATTTTATTTATAAATAATTATAAAATTTATATATATAACTTCTCGGTTCGGTTTGGTTATTTTTGCGGTTAATTTTTAGCAAAACCAAAACCAAAACCAAAACCAAATCAAATAGTATCAGTTTTCAAAATTTAAAATCAAACCTAACCAAATCAAACCAAATATTAGTTTTTGTAATCGATTTAGTTCGAATTGTGGTTCGATTTGATTTTATAACCATAACCATGAACCGCCCTAATGGTAATAATAAGAATTCATTTTTATGGATAAGAAGAATATGAAGGAAAGTGGATGTATATAAAAGTGACAAATTAAAGTTTGTTTCTTCAGAAAAGATAATTAAAGAGTGTGCTAATAAATTAATAATAGACACAAAATGGCTATTGGGGAAACATATTCTCTTATCATCACAAAATATATAAGAAGAGAATGAAAAATTCTTAACATCATTAATAAAATTCAGAAATTAGTTAGAAGAGCACGACTTTGAATTATACATTATTTTCGAAAGGCAAACGTAACAGAACAGCAAATAAGTTGACAAGCTTGAATTACATTTTTAATTAAATTCATATCTTCAACTTTCGTTTTTCTAATAAGTAAAAAAGTGTTGTTATTATGAACGGTTGAAACATACCATCTTTCGGGGATCAAACGGAACAAATCTCCGCATATCGTTTACAATCCTCCATATTTTTTGTTTATATGTTTTATTTTGGTTAAGATTAACTTAGCAGTCTATTCTCAATGATTATGGACAAAATTTGATATGTCAAACTGATTTGTAACTTTTTACACATTAATATAAATTTAACGAAATAAAATAAAATAAAATTTAATTACCTTTCACCGTTAGCTACTTATCCTAAATAAGCTCCCAACATCCTCAGCTTTGTCTCATAGAAACATTATTAGCAACAAAAACTGCTTCTCGTGTATAAATAGCTAACTCAGTGGCGGACCATTCGGAGGAGGTATCCCTACAACACATTCGGCGGGAGGCTAACTCAGTGGCGGACCTATTAGCAGATTACGGAAGGACAACAAAGGATCCAACTATGGCTATAAATCAGCTCTACGTTTTTAATGCATCTCCTTCCTTTATATTAAAAACTCTTGAAAGAGATGCTACTGGAACTACATCGCATAGATCAGTTCCTTTTTGTAATGGATAAATCTTATTATTAAATTGTTAAAGAATGACAAAAGTCCCACATCGGTGGTTAATGAGATGTGTGGACTCTTTATAAGGCTTGGGCAATCCTCCTCCCTTTGAACTAGCTTTTGGGGTGTGAGTTAGGCCTAAGACCTAATTTAACATGGTATCAGAGCAGGGCCCGTCTCACTCGATGTTGAGACCCCCAAAATCAAAATTGCCCACGCACCAGATGCTAAGCACTGGGCGTGAGGTGGGGTGTTAAAGAATGACAAAAGTTCCACATCGATGGTTAATGAGATGTGTGGACACCTTATAAGGCTTGGCCAATCCTCTTCCCTTTGAGCTAGCTTTTTGGGTGTGAGTTAGGCCTAAGACCTAATTTAACATAAATAAATAAAATCCTTCCGTTCTTAAGCAAAAACTAAACAGTAAAAACAGAGGGTTAGTAAGGAAAATAATAGCAAGGTAAAATTTGTTCACTGTAGAATAATAATATAATTTAATTATATAAAAAATTATACTTTTTTTCCTCTCAATTTACTGGAAAATATTTTAACTCCATATATAATTTAAGATTTTTTCTAATAAATTTATTGATCTAAAATAAATTAAAAATATTATGCCACTATAAATAATTTTACTAAGAACAAAATAAAAAACAGCATTAAATTATAAATAATTATATAAATTTATCTTAACTTAACTAAAAAGAAAAGAAATATCACATAAATTTATAAAATTTGATAGAGGAAGTATATGGAAGACTTGCCTAATGTTTAAAATAGGAGGAGAAATATGTGAAATGTCAAAAAATATTAGAGGAATTGAGGAGGTGTTTGGCCATGTATCTACTCTTTCTTTTTTTTTTTTTTTTTTTAATTATTGAATTTCTAAAAAAACACATTTAATCATATAATTTTGACATTTCAATTTTAAAGTCAAATTCCAGAATTTTCAATAATTTGAAAAACAACAAAATGTATTTCAGCTTTAAATTACTCATAAAACAAAATAAAAATAACTCAAATTTATATTCATAACCAAATATAACTTCAATTTTCAAATATTATTTTTTCGCTTTTAAATTTCACAATAAATGTGTAATTTAATGGAAGGAAGATTAAAAGGGAAGTTAAAGTAATAATAAAGCAAAGACCCACGTCGGACACCACTATCAAAATGAGTAGCATACAAAGCTTCGCCATTACTGTCCAATTCTTGTCGGAGGTTTATACATCATCTAAGCAACCATAAAAAGCCGTCAAGAAAATTGTATTGTTAGCTAAAGGGTTCAATTGGGTGCATATAGATGTAAAGATCTATGCACAAGCAATCTGGTAAATGGGGTTCTTGAATTTGGGAGAAATACAGGGATCTGTGGTTCTTGAAATGGGATTTTTGGTTTTCTTGGAGAAAAATGCTCTATGGGGAGCTTAAAGGTCTGAAATTTGTTAGGAATAATATAAGGATGAAGCATTTGGTGGGAAGTCCAGGAACTGTGAGTGGGTTGCTGTTGAGATTGGGGCAATGTTTATTAGCAGCTGGATCAATTGGGATTATGGTTTCTGCTTCTGGTTTCTCTAATTACACTGCTTTCTGGTATATATGCCTATCTCTTTATTGGTTTTTTCTTGTGTTCTCAAGCTAATTCCCCTCATTGATTATGAAGTTCTATGTTTCTTTACTCTATACTTGTGCTGCATTATCAGATAAATTCATGAATTTAACAATGTCTATGATAACTAAGGAATGGAAAAGATCGAAACTTGCCTCTGAACTTTGCGAAATGATCCAAATCTTCCCTCCTAATAGCAGGATCAATTTTATCCTTGTTGCCATTAGAAGCAGGGGATTAGTTAGCACTTATTGACTAACATGGGAGAGGCTTTGTGATCCTTTTTTTACAAACGAAAAGGGTCAGATTTGCCGTTGAACTTTGAATAATACTGGTAGTTGTTCCAGCGACAACAACACTGTCTTCTTCATTACTAAAAACCTCCTTTGGATAGGTATCTATCCCTCGAGCTCAATTTAACCACCCTCAAGCTTAAACCAGCCCGAATGGAACTTAAAAAATGATCAAGTGCACCACTAAATTAAGTTCCCATTTTATGGGAACTCAATCAACACAACTCCATCACCAGCCTTCTCAAATCACCAATAGCAATGATAGAGCTCTATATCGACCTCCTAATGCTTAAACAAACCTTACTACACAGTATTCAACTCCTAAATCATTTGCAGTATCATGAAGGTCAAGGTGGATTATGTGGTTGAGGGTGATGGCCTCTTTTTTTTTTGAAAAGTAATAATGGTATATTAAAAGCACTAGGGCAGGGCTGAAGCCGTATATACAGAGGGAATAACCCCCAAGTCATTTTTTGTTTGCTCTTTGTGAGTATGTGGGGGTGAAGTGCTGGTGGAGTAATGATGATTTTCAGTTGATGTTTCTGAGAGTGGAGAGAATCATTTGTTATGGTAATGATTGATTTAGAAGGTTGAGGGAGGGACTTTGGTTGAGAAAAATGAAATTCGGATCATATCACAAAATTCAAGGTCAATCTGGACCATTTTGTATAGTCTTAAGGACAAATTTGAACATTTCTCCTTGTAAATAAGGCCCACGTTTTGGAATGCCTATACCAATCTGATCCATATTTTTGATGGCAAGGATAAACTTAACTTCAATTATTAGCAAAGAGAAATTTGGACCTTTTACTCTTATCATAAAGGAATTATAGAAGAAAAGAGAGGGAAAAGGGGAATCGGGGTAACACTTTAGCTGTTTGTCTTCTGCTCCGCATAGGTTGAAGGATTTGTAACTTATGTCACTTGTTCGAGCCTTGCACCCCGGAGAGTGGCTTCTGGTTGATGATAGTAATAGAGACTATTAGGTTTTGGGGCTCGGGATAATATTTCCCTTGACTGTAACAAGCTAAGCTTGGTGCTTAAGTGGAAAAGGGTGGAGGGAGTTCTCATTCCCCGAGTTTTGAAGGCTTCAGGTGGACCTTAAGGTTTGCTGCAAACTGACTTCTCGGTCATAAGAAAAAACATTTGCTTGTTCACCATCTGCTTTTGAACTTCTGTTTTTAGACTGAGCATGTTAAGTTTGGAACTATTATTACTGTACAATAGTCAACTTTTCATGAAGTAGTTTGGATTGTCGCATTCATTGTTTAGAGAAGAAATCTTAAAACAGAAAGAATTAAATGAACATTCAAATATATAATTATTGTAGCATCTAATTTGTGGTCTAGCTTCTAACTTACGGACTTTTCTGCATACGTGTAATATATCATGTTTCATCTGGAGGACCTATTCTAATTTCCTTTATTTTTCCTGATAAGACGGACCTATCTAATGTAAAACTGCTAGATAAAGAGAGGTGTGGTTATTTAGCTTTGGCATCTTCTCTACATTGAAGTTAAACATGTGAAAGCATGTTCCCGAGGGGCATGTACTTTGGTGAAAAGGGGAGGGTGAAGATGTGGATGTCCCAAGCATTTGAGCAGTACTCGATAAGACGCCTTATATGTAGACCCAGGATTGCTCCCTAACTCTTGATTTACATTGCTCAGACTCAACACATAATGTCTATATGGAGGTCATAAAAAAATATCTATATGGATCATTGGTTAATCCATGACAGTCGGCTGTATGTTTTGTATTCTCTACTCGGCAAGATGCTTGAAGAACAAAGGCTCCCTGGCCTGTTAAGTGTTCTGTTTCTTTCTAATATGCACTTTCCTTGCCTTTTGCTGAAAAGATTGGCGCCTCTTATCTCTAACTAATTTGAACTTGTGATCTGTTTTTCGTTGTTGCTACTTGCTTCTTATATACAATGTACAGTAATTAATTACTTTTTTTTAAAAAAAATAATCTTTCTTTGCATCAATGTATGCCAAAATTTTCAGCGTCCCTCCATTAGCCAGTGGACCTCTTAAAATAGTGTAGAACTGATCCGTTCAGTATACACATCTCGTTGTAATGATTATGCATGTTTTATACAGTGCCTGACATATTCTTGCAGCTATTTGATTGCATCTATGGGTCTTCAAGTATTGTGGAGCTCTGGGCTTGCATGTCTGGACATATATGCTTTAAGGATAAAACGGGACCTTCAAAATCCAGTCTTAGTGAGCCTTTTTGTTGTTGGAGACTGGGTATGTACTTTTGATTTGCTTTCTCTTCTTGCTTATGTGATGTAGTTGTACATGTATAAATGAAACAATATAAGCACTTGTTTGTCTATTCTATCCTTATTCTTGTTTTCTCACTCGTGTTTTGTCTCTTAAATAATTTATATTTTCTTGCTTTCTTTACTTCACAATTTTTACTAAGAATAAATGATTTGATTTCCCTCTCGCTTGAAGCAATGATTGCTCGACTTTCTTTGCTACTTGTCCTTGGTTATTGACAAACTTGTGTGTTTGAAAGTACAATTTTCTTTGCTTTTGAGTAACAACTGATATTCAGTCAGTGTCATTGACTCAATCCAGTTCAGAATGTTTTGGATACTGTAAACTGTTCTTTCCTGCCGTTAAGGCCTGTACAAACACTACGCTTTGATAGACCTCATAAATACCACTGGAAATTCACCTTAACTGTGACAAACAATCTTCTGCCGTTAGTTCTGCTCTATACAGGGCACTAATGTTCCACTGCTCAAATGCTTTTTCCTCCCTGGCTTAAGTTCCCCTTGTTCTACATGATTTGACAACGGAAGCTTGGTCTTACCGTTTGTGCCACTCACTCCTTCAGAAGGAGATCCTCCCTTTATGCCTTCTCTGACTATAATCTTGCCCTATCAACAATATTTTCGAACTTTTTTTTTTTCCTTTTCAGAATGCATATCTATTGTCGCAGGAATCTTAAATCATTGTAACTATGCTGTATCCCCTTGCCATAAATAATGTCTTACATTGCTTGATTTGTCGTACTGTTGAACGCCAGATTATTGTCTTGTCTGAATTTCGACTATATATATTCATGTTCACTGTCTTGGCTTTAATTACAGGTAACTGCAACCTTGTCGCTGGCAGCTGCGTGCTCATCAGCAGGGATTGCTGTTTTATATTCAAAAGATTTAAACTTCTGCAGTACTCCACCTCATCTTCCATGTGGTCGATTTGAGCTCTCTGTGGTGTTGGCATTCTTAACCTGGTTTCTTATCGCCATTTCTTCTCACGTGATGTTTTGGATTCTAGCCGCCCTCTAATGATGTGAGCACGTCTCTCTGCTGAGAATATTGCTACTTATGAAATGGCCGATCACATCTAAATTCTAATTACCACAAACTTGTAATCGTATCTCCCTTACCAGTCCACATGAGTTTCTTCTGCACTGATGGAGTTGCTTGGAGTTTGGCAGTTTTCTGTTGTTGTGCTCATCAAGTTCAATTTTTATTCAAGTGTAAATTGTAACCTCTTTTTTGTACTCTAATCTACTGCAGTTCAATTACATTTTGAAATCAAATTTTGAATATCTAGCTGTTGCTTAACTATGGGGTGCCATTTGAAGTTGTACAAATGCATATAACTTACATGCTTCAGTTGTGCACCTAATGTCGATGTGACTTTTATGAAGTAATCAGAAAATGATAAAATATTTATGATTGCGTTTTGTTAATGACTATTTTTCACTTAATAAGTGGAGAGAGATTAGTGAGGCTTATCGAACTTTATAGGACCGACCACTACATAATTGTCAGTTGAGAAAGTTCGAAGAGCTTCCCTTCTGTCATTACAACAATGAATCTTATCAGTGGACTGAATGACACTTGGCAAAATCCAATTCATATTATCTGGTTATTGTTCTCAAATAATGAAATCTTCCTTTACTAACCTAACTTGTATGTTTTATAGCTTTCAATAATTTCTCATGTTTTGCGTATAACAGTATAATACGAGACTATTGAGAAAACATGGCCCATTAGCTCAGTTGGTTAGAGCGTCGTGCTAATAACGCGAAGGTCGCAGGTTCGAGACCTGCATGGGCCATAATATTTTTTGTATGTGTGTTTTTATTTGATTCTTCTGCTGAATCTGTTTCAATTTCTTTCTTTCTAGATTTAAAAAACTAGCTAGATGAGCAAATTTTACAAATAGTCACATAATTATAGGTTTATTGCATATATTCAAGATTCAATATTATATCATATAAAGATAAATAAAACTAAATAGTCAAATATTCTTCCTAATAGTAATAATTTCTCAAAGACACGTATAGACACTACTCCTATTTTGAAATTAATCACGAGTTCATTCACTAGTTAAAGTCAGAAGTAGAAGCTTCTTGTGTTTCCTCTATTTTTATTTTTTTTGGACTATTATGGTTCATCATTATCTTATAAAAGACATTTTATTGAATCAACAATATGACAAAAATCAAATAAACAGTACTAATTATGACAATATATCCTGCATACATACACAAAATAATGTGACCAAACCAATATATACACCTTCAAATTTTTTCACATAGAAAAGCAAAAGTTTGAGTTGCCTTTGGTTATCCTCAAACAAGAAACCATCAAAGTAAGTAAAAGTCTGAAGTCCCTTTGGTTAATCCTCAAACTTACACCAAACCAACAAACAAAAGAAAATAAAAATACTAGTAGTAGAAAAGAAGAAGCTTATATCACACGTGAAAAATAACAACAATTACGCCTTAATTCCAAACAAGTCTGACGATCCTTTTTGCTGTTGATTTTCGTTTAGCAAAAGTTATTATTTTTTGAACTTTAACTTCAACTTCAAGAGATCATCGATCACTTCATAGCACGGGAAGAAATCCGATGACACCTAGCCGCGGGTGACTGAACTCCACTTGACACTATTCTTTTGGTGACAGTACTCGCAGAAGGTGACGATGATGAAGTTGTCGAAAACATAGTATCAACATGACCAAAAATTTGTAAATCGGACGTTTCATAACGTCCTGAATCACCTGGAAGTTTCATATAAGAAGTCGAAGGAGATTCAGACATCCATGTTCCCCTTCCATTTTTGTACTCTACTATTGCTTTGTAAACAAATGGTATCAGCCCCTCCATTTTTTTTAAAATTTTTTTTTGCAAAGTTTAGAAGAAACTTTTTTTTTGAGTGATGGAGGAGACTTTTTGGAAAGGGGAATATATATAGTAAGGTGTGATTTATTGGATAGGATAGTCTTAGCTGTAAATACTAAGGAAAATATAATTTAAAGAATCTTTTAAGCAAAAAACTTCCACACGTGAAAGCTACATTTAAACTACATCACTTTTACATTTCACCAAATTTCAATTTATAATTATTTCTCTTGATCTGACTTTTAACATATTTTTAGTTATTAAAATATTTTAGTTTGGTAGGTATTTTCATTTAAAATCCATTGATCAGTGGATGATCCTAAATAAACTATGGGATTGTGCATTTTATAATGCTTTAATTAGTATCCATGGTTTTTCCATGATACTACTATAGATATATTAAGTAATATATATTGTGTGGTAGTTAGGCTTTTCTGGCTTAAATTAATTTATATTATGGTTCATCTGAAGTATGTAATTTTGACTTAGATTTTATATGGGTATATATTAAAAATCTACTTGATAAGTACAAATATTTATTCTGGCTTAATTTATATAATTTTTGAGAGTTAATTTTTTTTATAAGATCTATATATCATTTTAAATAAAATCTGCATATTAGAAAACTACATATATTTATATATATTTAATAATTAATAATTTAAAATATTTCAAAAAACATATAAAAAAATCTGTTTTACTCTTGAAATTGAAACAACACTACAACAATTGTGATGGAAGGCGTAATATCGAACGTATGGTAAATTAATTTTGAACTAAAAAAATCATAATGTTCAAATCCTAAATCCGATATGATTGTTAAGTATTGTTTTATAATATATCGTACTATATTGTATTGTGTTGTATTATATCGTATTTTATTGTTTTAATGAATATGACGTTTGAATAGATTGTATTGTTTTCCGTAGTTACATAATATCACACATCTACAATTTGAATATTAAATCTACAAGAAACTTATGCTACGAAAACAAGGTTATTATAGAAAAAGATAGAGCAAAGGATAAAATTAAGATTATTATATAATAGTAAAGATAAAATAAGAAAAACATATTAAAGCAACGACGCATACACACCAAATCAATTATTACACAAAATAATTTTTTTATCATTATCTAATAATAAATTTAAACGATATAATATAATAAAATTTAAATAACATTAATTAAAATAAAAATTATATTTATACTAACATTGATACAATACAATGGATAACAATTAACAACCATCCAAACAATGTGCTGCTAGATAATGGATATATATATGAGGTTAGCAGTATATATGCGGCAGATGACTATGTCAATATATAATACTACTATTTTAGTGGTTAGTTAATATGTAGTTTTTCATTATTTGGTGACTATACCATATCTTTTTTTAATTAAGATATGGTGATTCTTCATTCTCCTAGAAGCTTTAAAAAAAATCAAAAGTGATGTTGCATTTGCTATTAACAGAACTATATACAGCTTTTCCAGTAAAATAATTATTTTTCTTTTTTCTCATTTTATTCCCATCTAAGATTGGCTAACTATGCTCCAATAACATCAGAAGCACCAAAAGTGGAATAAAAAAGACAAATTAAATTTAATAAAATAGTACTAACTTTTGCTAATGGTTATACATGTGTGGATGGATACATATTGATTCTTCTGCTTTAGCCTACCTGATTTGTTTGGTTTCATAATTTCTTTAAGAAATTATTAAAATCTTGACAAAAAAGACCGGAGATAAAAGTTATAAAAATATGTTGTTGTTTTTTTCCATTTGGGTGTGCCTTGAACAGCTGGCCTGAAAAGTTCAGCTTGCCAATACATAAATAAGGCAAGAGCAAAAGCTTAAATGTAAGTTAAACCAACTTCTTATTAATCTAATTACTAAGTGCAGATATTTCGTAAAATTAATTGAGGTAGGTAAAAGTTGATTATATGATAGTTATATAAATAAAAATTATAAAATTTATTTTGCTTACATATTTTCCCTTTTAATTTGTATAAAAACAATATTTTCGTCTTTTTGGAAATTTTTAAATATTTGCATCCCATTTTTTTTTACCCGATATAACGTAACTTGTTGTGACTCAATTGATGAATCTTTCATTATCTCTTAATTAAAAAGATAATAATGATACTTTTCATATCTTTGATATATAAGTAGCCCTTTCTTTATTTTAAAGAAAAAAGTATAGAAAAATACAAACATTAGTCATATAAAAGATTTATCCTGCATTTGATATGAAGAAGGAGATAAAACTTACGTCGATAAATCCTATAATATTTTTTCATATCACAATTGAAATATTCTCATTGAAACTTTCTGTTAAATTTTTAATGTGTTTATTTTATGATTATCCATCAATGTTGATCTATGAGTACTTGCTTTAGTGAAATCAAATTCTTTGTGCGATAACTTGAAGGTTTTTACATCATAAAGATAAAGAAAGATGGAAAAGTGTCTAGACGTAATTTCGATTTTTGATACAACAACTTATCATACCATAATGATTTGTTTTTGGTTATGGTGGAAAATTTAGAATTTGTTAGAATTTTTATTTTCGATACGTTTGAATTAGGAGTTTTTTTTTCAAGTGAAACACCTATATCCTCTTTTCAACTTGAGAGAATCTTACCTTTCATCATATTATTTAGAATTTGTCTTTAATATATTTATATATTTATTATTAGTACTGCGACATTTTAGGGCAAAGGACATAAATCACATACTTTAAAGCCAAAATGACCATTTGTCCCTTATAAGTTTAAAAATGACTGAAATTCCTCAAAAATTTAAAACACAGATACAATAATTCAGCACTGATACATTAAATATATGGCACGGATACATTATTAATTAAAGGTTGGATATTTTTTTGTTGCGCTTTTAATGGAAAATAAAAACGGAAAATCAAAAATTGAATCTCATAAATCACGCCAAATCAGTTTCCGTAAAGTGATTCCCAAAAATAACAAATCAAATTAGAATTGAAAAGATTCAAATCGTGTTCATCTTCTGCTCTATTTCAACAAATCAATTCAGAATTGAAAGATTCAAATTGCGTTCATCTTCTTCTCTGTTTCAACGAAGAGGACTTCGACTAAGAATCAATTTTGTTGAAGTGAGTTTAATCGGATAGGTAATGAATATATCAATTTTGTTGAGACACTTTGGAGTTTGGGAGAGTGAGATTAATTATGAAAGATACAAGAGTGATGGGATATTGGTTGGTGAAGATGTTTCCTTCATGAACCAGTTTCAACAATTGCGGCTGAGTTGAATATTGATGAGTCAAGAAAAAATATTGAAATACGATACATTGTAGAAGGAAACTCCTCTCCAATGAATATAAGGACTGATATGGGAGTAAGATTGTACTTAGAGGTGAAGAAACGCGAGATTGGATTTGGAATGTATCCCCTCTGTATTGATACAATTGATAAGGATGTACTCGATATTGAAAATTTTGATGTGTCGACTGGTTCAATCGTCTGTGTTGAAGGTGCTAAACAGGATACACTCGCTCTCAACTTGGTAGAATAAAAAAATGGTGATGTGTGTTATATACCAGAGTTAGAGGTGACGAATTACATATCTGATACAAAAAGTACAGACGTGAAAGTGGATCAATTGTACAGAGATAAAGCCACTCTGATATCTGTAATGGCAAAATACAAAATAAAACATGACTTTAATTTCAGAGTAAAGATATCTGATAACAGGAGGTTTGGAACTTTGTCTAGTATATTTCATGTGTTAATGTATCAATATATGATTGTTCTGATTAATGTATCGTTGAAATTTGTTGAAACGGTACAGAAACATTACATGCTAAAATTATGATACAATAACTGTGTCTAGTATATTTCATGTGTTAATGTATCAATATATGATTGTTCTGATGTATCGTTGAAATTTGTTGAAACAGTACATAAACATTACAGGCTAAAATTATGATACAATAACTGTGTCTAGTTTATTTCATGTGTTAATGTATCAATATATGATTGTTCTGATTAATGTATCGTTAAAATTTGTTGAAACAGTACGAAAACGTTATTGTCTAAAATTATGATACAATAACTATGTCTAGTTTATTTCATATGATAATGTATCAATATATGATTGTTCTGATTAATGTATCGTTGAAATTTGTTGAAACAGTACGGAAACATTATTGTCTAAAATTATGATACAATAACTGTGTCTAGTTTATTTCATATAATAATGTATCAATATATGATTGTTCTGATTAATGTATCGTTGAAATTTGTTGAAACAGTACGGAAACGTTACAGACTAAAATTATGATACAATAACTGTGTCTAGTTTATTTCATATGATAATGTATCAATATATGATTGTTCTAATTAATGTATCGTTTAAATTTGTTGAAACAGTAAGGAAACATTACTGGATAAAATTATGATATAATAACTGTGTCTAGTTTATTGCATGCGTTAATATCAATATATGATTGTTCTGATTAATGTATCGTTGAAATATGTTGAAACAATACAGAAACATTACAGGCTAAAATTATGATACAATAATTGTGTCTAGTTTATTTCATGTGTTAATGTATCAATATATGATTGTTCTGATTAATGTATCGTTGAAATTTGTTGAAACAGTACGGAAACGTTACAGACTAAAATTATGATACAATAACTGTGTCTAGTTTATTTCATATGATAATGTATCAATATATGATTGTTCTAATTAATGTATCGTTTAAATTTGTTGAAACAGTAAGGAAACATTACTGGATAAAATTATTATACAATAACTGTGTCTAGTTTTCATATGATAATGTATCAATATATGATTGTTCTAATTAATGTATCGTTGAAATTTGTTGAAACAGTGAGGAAACATTACTGGATAAAATTATGATACAGTAAATGTGTGACGTATGTATTTTGATATATCATAGAGTAACTGATACATGTTATTATACTATTTGTTAATGTTTGATATT